GTGGCCCCAGGGCCCCCCCTCCCCAGGCTTGAGGTGGTGTGGGTCTTGGGGCCACCACATCCAGGCTGCCCAGCTCCATCCCTGCTGGGAGCAAAGGGAGCACAGGCAGGGCAGGGGGAGGAGGTGGCAGCCATGGGGTCTAAGGGCCACCACAGCCAGGGTTCAGCCCTGGAGGCTGCAGCCTGAAATGGAGACAACCTGTCCCCCCCTCCACCCCTCCCCCATGTCCCCAGATGGGCACAAAGAAGTGCAGGCGAGCGCTGGGCTGATTTTGCTGTCCATAAATGCCAGCCCAGGCTGGTGTCCCTGCTAATGAGAGGCTTGGTCCCGAAATGGCGGTGCTGGGCCGCAGCCCAGGGTAATGACAGGGCTGCTGCCCTGTGCCTGCCTCGCCCCGGGCAGCTGTGGGCAGGACGGGGATGGGGACAGGGACAGGCCCGTCCTGCCCCAGTTGCTGCCTGGCCCAGCCGTGCCGGAGCAGAGGCTGGGGGCATCGCAGACACCATCCCCTGGGCTGACTCGCACCCCACTGGCCCGAATTCCTGCAGCTCCCCATGGGGTGGCACAGCGCCTCCGCCTGCTGCTGGGACCCGTGGCTGCGGCTCCTTGGCACTGGGACCGTGTCCCCAGCATGGAGCAAGCAGGGACTGGAGGAGTCCCAGGGCTGGAGGGGTCCTGGCGCAAATGGAGCCCCTGGGCAGGGCTGACCAGACCATGCCCCTCCATGGGCCCAACTTTCACTCTTGATTTTGGAGACGAACAGGGTCCCTCCTGCTCCCCACACCCCCAAGGCAGGGTGAGGCATTAAGCAGCAGCTTGTCCTGGCTGGCACCGCGCATTGTGCCCAGGCCAACAACAGCAGCACCACCCGAGCAGCAGGAGGGCTGTGCTGGCTCAGCCTGAGCCCCCCTGAACCCCAAATCCTGGCAGGCAGCAAGCAGGGAGGGGGCTTGGAGCAGAGGCCATGGGCCTGGGGTGATAGCAGCCTCCAAAACCCACAGCACAGGGAAGTCCTGAGCCTTCAGTGTTGAAGCATCCAAATCCAATGGATTTTTCCTTCCCCACCCATTTGTTGGGGGTTTTGACCCCACACACCCCTCGCCACCCCCTCTGCCCGCCTGCGTAATTGCATATTTGAGGTTTGGCCACCTCGCCTTGTTTTGAACCCAGTGCCCGTGCCTGCTGCTGCCCATCCTCCTGTTGGGAAATGCAGCTTGGGGTGCTTTGCCCCACCCCCCCCGCACCCCTCCTGTCCTGCCCACCCGGATCCCCCTGCCAGCCAGGAGCGCCCCGGCCCGAGCCCTGAATGGAAAAGGCATTCATGAGCCGGCATCAAACCTCATTGCGAAGCCTTCGCACGCAATTAAAGCGGCATAAATTCAGAGTGACTTGATTCCCCACTGAATTGAATTAAGAGCACTTGAAATTTGGAGTAAGACGATCTCCTGGGGATTTAATGCGGTTTCACTAATACACTTCAGAAGATAAGGCGGGTTCATGGTCCTGAGCAGCCAGGTCCCTGCTCCCGGGGCGGGCAGGAGGGCTGCTGGGCTTGGGCACGGACTCACCGGCCGCTGCCATCCCACAGCAGTGAAAAAACCCCCCAAACCCTTCCTGTTCAACAAATATTTTGGTGTGTTCCAGGCAGTGACTGGGGAGCAGCCGTGCCCAGCACCCACCCACGCAGGTTGGCGGGCAGGGAGGTCCCCCAGCCCTTCCCTGCCCAAACCCCGGGGTCCCCTCCATCCCCAGTCCCTGGAGCCCCTGACGGAACGGGGCGCGATGCCCGGCGCGAGGGGAGGGGAGGGGAGGGAGCAGCTTTCCCACCTCGTGCCCGCGCAGCTTTTACAGCCTGGCGCCGTCGCGCTCGCTCCCTCCTGGTAGAGGATAGCGGTCCC